AGAAAGAAAGAAAGAAAGAAAGAAAGAAAGAAAGAAAGAAAGAAAGAGAGGCAAGGCAAACAGGACACTTAAGAGAAATAGGCTTTCCCCTGGCCTTTTCCTAATTGTTCCCACTTACTAGGCCTCATAAATTATGAATAAATGTATATAATTAGCTCAACTTGAAACAGGAAAAGGGCTTTTACCCAAATTTGGGTCAAATACCTTAATTGGCATTTTGCAAGAATCCTGCCTATATGGGCAGCATGGGAACCAGGACCCTGCACACAGCCATTCTCAGCTGAGTCTCAGGCCAAGCAGCACTGTGCCAGCAAATGTGCTCCGGGGACAAGTCCCCACTGTCCCCTCTCTCCATCTTCCCCACTACACGGATACCCAGTAGCCCTAAGTATCGAGCTGCAAGTTACTCAACCTCATATTAGAGAACATGCAACAGCCAGGGGTGGGAACTGACAAAAGCGACCACTGTCCTCTCAGAGATGGACCCCTGGGGGCTGAGCAGGGATCACACAGAAAGTATGATGAGAGTCATCGCTACTTATCGGTACAGAAAATTCCAGAAGTAAGCAATTCATAAGTTTGTAATTATGCATCATTCTGATTAGCATGATGAAGTCTTAAGTAGTCAGGCCCAGTCACTGAGTCGTCCATGTGTCCAGTGTATCCACAGGGTGTGTACCGCCACCCATTAGGGTCTCCAGAGTCATCCTCACTCCCAGACATAGACTGTTGTGGCAAGGCGATGCTATGTTCAGTTTCCTCGTACCTCAGAGCAAATGTCCCCAAGTTCAAGAACAACAATGCTGCTGTCAGGGCATGCTAATGTGGAGCCATGATGCACTCCTCATAGGGGCAAAGGCAGGCAAGCGTTCTAAGCCGAATAGACAAGAATCTTGTGACAAGGTGGGTTAAGATCTAAGAAGCAATCTAAGAATTTGTGAGCCAGGCCGTGGTGGCGCACACCTTTAATTCCAGCACTCAGGAGGAGGCAGAGGCAAGCAGATTTCTTTGAGTTTAAGGCCATCCTGGACTACAGAGTGAGTTCCACCACAGGCTTCAAAGCTACAGAGAAACACTGTCTTAAAAAACAAAACAAAACAAAACACTAAAAAACAAAATAAAAAACAAAAAAAGGAGGGGGATAAGAAATTTAAACTGGTTTTGCTAACACACCTCAAACGCTTACAGTTAAGGTTGCAGTACAGAGTGGGGCTTAGTAAAGGTGGAAAGGGCTTCAGATTTTGTGTGTATGCATAGAAAAAAACCCTACAGTATTCAGGGTCTGGTGTTATCTATGGTTTCAGGTACCTACTTGGGAACTCGAATACAAACTTCAAGAATAAGGACCACTGTATGAATTGTGATGAGGCCAGTTAGAAGCTTCTGGGCCTTACTGGGAGTCTGAAGGTGACAGGAGACATGTTGCCCCAACTCTGAATTCCTGCAGTCATGCCAGCTCCGAATCACCTATGCTCGGTCACTGCAGCCAGTAAGGGTAGGTTCTCCCAGCTACCTCTTGGCACTTCTGTTCCCTTTGTACCCAGTCGGTCTGGGGCAATGCAGATGGCTTTGGCTTTTGTGGACAGTCAGTTGCTTTGCTTCTATGTTTGGGCCATTGTAAGTCTGGAATAATTGTGTTTAAGTCTGTTAGTGGACATCTGTCTTTATTTCTCTGGGATGGATATTAGGTCTGAATTTACTGGGTCATTTGGAGCATGGGAGCTGAGTGTTGAAGGGGTGAGGTGGGGGCAGGTAAGGCTTCCTAAGGGAGCAGACAGAAGCCAGGTGATGGAGGAGGCAGGAGGGCATTAGTCAGGGCGAAGACCTCAGCGAGGGCGAGCCTAGCACATGCTGACGTGGAGCCGCAGAGGTGCTGAGGTCAGCAGGCTGCAGCTCATTGTCTGGAGCTGGGGGTGGAAGCCATGGCGGTGGGTGAAGAGGCAGGTGGAAGCCGGATCAGGTGGGATTGCAGGAGATTTGGGTTTTACTCTGAGTGTGATGGGGGTAGGATCAGCACAACAACCGTATTAGGCTGTTGGAGGCACACAGGAGGCAGGAGGTGGCAAGCTGGAGACCCATCACCTAGGGCCTGGAGGACAGGAAGGAGGCCCTGAAGCTGAGACAGAAGGGGGTGTGAGACAGCAGGGGCCTGCTGACCGGCAGAGCCTTCAGCAGTCAGCACAGAATCGAAGAAGTCTCAGAACCCCAGCTCGGCCGGGAGTCAGCAGTCCTGAAAGGTGGCCCAGGTGATGGATAACCTGGGAGGCAGAGATGCTGTGCAGAACCTGCTAAAAGGACTGCAGGGTGTGGCACAGCGGGCAGGCACCTGCGTTTAGCATGTGCAAAGCTCTAGGTTTGGTCCCCAGTACTGCCAACAGGAAAGCAGCACAGTGAAGATTCTTCCCCAAGACACACACATGCACATAGAATCCACGCAGTTCTGAGGTCTTCACACAGCTGCTCTGCCTCCTTCCCTTTGCTGATGTGGAAACTGAGGTTCAAGGGGGATAATGGGTCTGCTCAGGGTCATCCGGGAGTGTCCCTCGTTGGCAGCCACACCACCTCCTTCACAAAAATGCCCATAAAGGCCCATGATGGCTGCACATATTGATCCCCACAGCAGCTCAACATACTCAGAGCATAGCCAGCATATAAAAATAAAGAACCTCGGCTTAGTAGTCCTGTCAATTAGGCCCAAGACCGCTCTCCAGCTAAAAACCATTAGGCGCTCTGCTAATGGGACATTCTTGGCCCTCTCTACATTTAGAGGCTTCTGAAGGGGTTCCTAATGTGACCCAGTTCCCTGGGAAAGGTCTCACTTGGGGCTTTCTGGCCCTGTCCCGGCCGCCTGCCTTCTGCAAGCTCGGCTGACAGTCAAGAGGTCACAGAACAGGACTAATAGCCACCGCTATTATTGAGGGCTTGCTGTATGCCAAAAGCCATGCTAAGTGCCTCATATATATGCCTTCTCATTAGAGTCCTAGAACAACCCAGGAGGGTAGATGCTAGTGTCCCCACAGTAGGGGGCAGGAGACTGGGACACAGGGGTCACTTGAGTTTACCGCTATGGCTGCTATTACAGCTTACTACCTGTGCATGGCGCACCAACAGCAGAAAAGGAAATCAGCCTGGAGGCTAGCAGGCCACCATCAGGCTGCCATCTGGGTCCCCCCCCCTCGGTCCACTCTCTATTTGCAGGTAGCCATCCTCCCTTTCTCTTACATTTCCCCTTTAGATCAAGGCCTACCTACCTGACCTCAATTGAGCCTGGTCTTTTCTGTAAACACCTTATCTCTAAATCACCCAAGGTCCCAGAGAGGTGAGGTCAAGTGAAAGCCCAGGCTTTCCTCTCAAAAGCCGGTGCTACCGTCCATTACTGTTGGTGAGC